CGCCGGGCGGGGCGGCGCGGAGGGGAGGGCGTGGGGGGGGGGGGGGGGGGGGGCTCTCACCCAGTTGGGCTGGAGTGGCCCCCACCCATTTGCAAGTGGGCAACCAGTTAAGTGATGACATGGGATTTTGCTTCCCTAGTTAAAGCAGCTGCAGCTAACTGCCATAGACAAACCCTGGGCTTCTCCGAAGTACTGGGAGCAAATGGAAAGGCAGGTGCCCAGCAGACCCTAGCCCACTCACCAGAATTAACTTCCCATCCTGCAGTTCTCGGACCAATGTCGTCTCCTTTTGCAAGTGGGCAACCAGTTAAGTGATGACATGGGATTTTGCTTCCCTAGTTAAAGCAGCTGCAGCTAACTGCCATAGACAAACCCTGGGCTTCTCCGAAGTACTGGGAGCAAATGGAAAGGCAGGTGCCCAGCAGACCCTAGCCCACTCACCAGAATTAACTTCCCATCCTGCAGTTCTCGGACCAATGTCGTCTCCTTTCCGTCCCATTTCTGCACGTGGACAAGTTTTCCTCCATCGAGCGTCACAAGGGACTGCAGGGGGGAGAGACAAAGCGCCTGGCATCTCAAGGGGGTAGGTAATAAGATCAACCCTTCCTGGGCTAAAGGTGCAGGATACACAGTCTCTGCTGCCCGCCCCAAGGCTTTACCCTGCAGTGTAGGTCACTAAGCCCTTTCCTGCCTGCCGAAGGGGCCCAGTCCCAGGAAGTGGGGTCACTGCAGAGCCAGCCCCATGCGCTCAGATGTTTATGTGCGACGGGTGCTTGGCTGTTGGTTGCTGCGCGCGAGTAGGACAGGGCGTTCTCCGGGCAAACCCCAGCGGCAGTAATTTGGTGAGTTGTACACACCGGGTCTCTTGGCGGCTGCAGCGAGAATGGACCCTGCCCTTCCTGCTGCTAGAATTAGAGAGATTTTAACCAGGCCCAGCGCGACACGGGGCAAAGGGAACAGCTCCCCTCCCCCCAAGAGATCAGACACTGGTTCCTCTAATTTTTCCCAACCCTGAGCAGAATGAATGTGCCCCAATGGAGAGGGGCTGCGCGACACAACACCGCCGTATTGGTGCACAGCACAAAATCCATGTGGGGCCGAGGGGCTGAGTGTGGGAGGGGGCTCAGGTTTGGAGCCGAGGGTGGGGGTGCAGGGATGCAAGGGCTCTTGCTGGGAGTGTAGACTCTGAGGTGGGGCTAGAGATGAGGGACCTGGGGTGCAGGGGTAGGGGCCAAGGAATTGGGAATATAGGAGGAGGCTTGTCTTGAGACAGGGTGTTGGGGTGCAGGATAAGGATGATAAGGACTAGTCACCAATCTGATAAGCACTAGTTGCTTCCCCCCTCCCCCTTGCTGCCTCTATTAGATAGAGGCAGCAAAGGGGGGGAAGAAGGGGTGTTTCAAAGTGGCAGAGCCGCATGGAGCTGACCCCGGGCTCCACGCGGACGCTTCCCCCAGCTCTTGTGCATTTCAAAGCGGAAGCGCCCATGTGGAGCCCGGAGTCAGCGGGACTTCACACTGCTCCTGGGCTCCAGGCAGAGTTCCAGGGGGGGCTCTTGTGCATTTCAAAGGAGGAATGTGGACGTGCCTGTGGACTAGTCCACTAGTTGATGGAAATTCCATCGACTACTCGACTAGTCAATTAATCGATATTTAACATCCTGAGTGCAGGAGCGCATGAGGGCTCAGGGATAGACCTGGGAATGTGGGGTTTGGGATGCAAGTGGGGGCTCCAGGTTTGAGGAGGGCCTCAGGCCTGGGGGTTGGGGTGCAGAAGGGGGCACGGGCTCTGGGCTGGGGTGTGGACTTTGGGGTGGAGCTGGGGATGAGAGGTTTGGGGTGCGGGAGGTGGATCTGGTTTGAGGGGCTCAGGGTGGGGGGGACAGTGGACTTGGTGCCTGCCTGTCCTGAGGCACCGTGCTGCCCTCCGGAGGCCGCCAGCAGGTCTGGCTCCAGGGCGGAGGCACGAGGCTCCGCACCACGCACACAAACACTGCCCCCTTAGCTCCCTTTGGCAAGTGGGAGTGGGGAACCGGTGCTCAGGGCAGGAGCAGTGCACAGAGCCCCATGGCCCCCCTGCCTAGGAGCTGGGGCTGGCAGGCGGGGCCCCTCTCCCCCCCTCAACCGCCACGCAGCTTAGAGAGCACTTGGATTGAGGAATCCTAAATTGTGAGAGGCTAAAACAGGAATCCAGTTACCCAGTGCTAAGCAGTGACCAGCGACCGCTGGGAGAGTCTCCATCCCTCAGCCAACCGATAAATGGCAGCAAAATACTGACCCAGGAGCAGCCCCTGCCCTTGTAGAAGGTGGGTTGGGGCCTCAAAAATACCCCCTAGCCACTTCTAGGGGCCTCAAAATGCCCCCTAGCCACACACCCCCCATTCCTGGGACCATAGACCTGGCCCTGCTGCCCACCCAGAGTGAATGGTTTCCTTGGTGACTTAATGCCAGAGAAGCAGGAGGAGGAGGAAAGTTCCTGGCGATTCTCTCACCTCAACCTTAAATGGAAAGAGCCGATTAAGGCCCCGGGGGTGTGCCTGCTGCAGGAGATGCAGTGGGAAGAGGGGGTGCAGCTGCTGTTAGGGGCGGGCTTGGGGTGTCCCCATGGTGGAAAGGAAGGAGCAGCGCAAACCCCTGGCGAGTGGTTGGCTCGGTTTTGAGAACGGGCGTGTGCATGCCTCATGGCTGCTGGGAACAGGGCAGTCCAGGGCCGCTCCCACACGGGGCGGGGGATTGGCCAAACCTGCCCTCCCACGGCATTGCCTTCATTCTAACCCTGCTCAGCCCTCAGGCCAGACCCTGCCCTGAGACACCTGATCCCAGGCCTTCTCGGTTGGTGCTTGCATGACCCCACCTTGCTCTGCCTGGCGGGTGAGTCAGACAGAGAGCACGGCACCTCCTGGGGAATGGGTCAGAGATGCACTGGGCCAGGGCCTTAGGGCTTCTCTCTTCTCTCCAAGCAACTCCTGTCCCAGGCCTGACAAGCTCACCACACCTAACACAGCGCTTGTGTGTCATTTACCCATTAAAGGCGCCATTTGGCATCCCTGTCGAAAGCTTGTTTGTGATCCGTTGGTGACAGTTATGGGTAAATTATGCCTTGTGGGCTTGGAGTGAAAGTGAGGCACTAGGGAAATGTAAGTCTCAGGGCTGGTCCATAAAGCCGAGGGCCTTCTCCCGGCCCCTCACAAGCCGCTTAGCTCAAGTGTTGGTAACGGACTCTTCAGTTATCTCCCTAGTCACCCGCCCCGAGAAATCCCAGGCCAACCATAAACACCAACGCCTTGCAGCATGACACCAGGCGGGGGCTCCCCGACTCTGGAGAGAGACAGTGTAGCACATTGAGATGCTAAATTTCCATTTATCAGCTAATCAAGTAGTTGATGGAATTTCCACCAACTACTCGATTAGTCGACAAGGGGGGGGCGCTCGTTAGCCCTTGCTAGAGGCAGTGGGAAGGGGACCACGCCGGCGAGAGCAGAACAGTTCCTGCTGGCCGGGTTCCCCTCTGTGCCTCTTCCTTTGAAATGTGCAAGAGCCGCCGTTACATCTTGTACGTTCCAAAGGGAGAGGAGCAGCAGCCAGGAACAGCGTGAGCGGGACTGTTTCAATACCCACCCGCTTTTAAGCCGGCTCCCCCCAGCAGTGGCTCCTGCTCCCCCTGCCCCCCTTGCTGCCTCCCTCAGGCTGTGTCTGCACTACAGAGGGTTTTTTTGGAAAAATGGCTGTTTTTCCAAAAAAAACTTCACTTCCGTCCACACTGCAATCGTGTTCTTTCGACAAAAAATCGAAAGAACAGAGGGGTTTTCCGACATTGATAAACTTCGTTCTATGAGGAAGAAGCCTTTTTCCAAGAGCTCTTTCAGAAAAAGGCGTGTGTGGGCGGGAAAGAGGGAGTTCCTTCCGAAGAAGAGGAAAGAGGAAAAAGCACAGGTGCCCTGGAGGCCACTCTGCCCACAGCAAACACAGCTGACATACGAGAGAGCATCCAGTGAGCGTGGACACTATCTTTTGAAAAAGCAGCTCGCTGTTTCAAGGCGCTTTGGCAGTGCGGACGCTCTCTCTCGGAAGAAGTTTTTTCAGAAGATCTCTTCCAGAAAAGCTTCTTCCGAAAGACGCCTGAAGTCTAGACGTAGTCTCTAACAGATGCAGCAAGGGAGGGGAGGGACTAGTCAAGTTCCTACTCGACTATCCAATAAGCATTTGCTAATATGCGTGGGGGTGCTTGGCCTGCGCTGTTCAGGAGACAGCTTGCGGAACCGGGTATTTCTGGCCCCCGTGAAGCCAGCCAGCGCTGCAACACCCTGACCTGGGGGCAAAGCCTGCCTCAGCAGCGAGGAAAGGGCACCGGTGAGATGGGCGGGCACCTGTTTGTGTGTCAGGGTTTTGTGCTTTTCTTAGGGGGTTCCACTACTCCCGTGTCCATGGAACTCTGGTTCTGTGCTATCGTAAGCGCTCCCCGCAATGACCCACCGCTCCCGTGCCCGTGGAACTCCGGATCTGTGCTAACATAAGCGCTCCCCGCAATGTCCCATCGCTCCCATGTCCGTGGAACTCCGGATCTGTGCTAACATAAGCGCTCCCCGCAATGTCCCATCGCTCCCATGTCCGTGGAACTCCGGATCTGTGCTAACATAAGCGCTCCCCGCAATGTCCCATCGCTCCCATGTCCGTGGAACTCCGGATCTGTGCTAACATAAGCGCTCCCCGCAATGTCCCATCGCTCCCATGTCCGTGGAACTCCGGATCTGTGCTAACATAAGCGCTCCCCGCAATGTCCCATCGCTCCCATGTCCGTGGAACTCCGGATCTGTGCTAACATAAGCGCTCCCCGCAATGTCCCATCGCTCCCATGTCCGTGGAACTCCGGATCTGTGCTAACATAAGCGCTCCCCGCAATGTCCCATCGCTCCCATGTCCGTGGAACTCCGGATCTGTGCTAACATAAGCGCTCCCCGCAATGTCCCATCGCTCCCATGTCCGTGGAACTCCGGATCTGTGCTAACATAAGCGCTCCCCGCAATGACCCACCGCTCCCGTGTCCGTGGAACTCCGGATCTGTGCTAACATAAGCGCTCACCGCAATGTCCCATCGCTCGCGTGTTCGTGGAACACCGGATCTGTGCTACCGTAAGCGCTCCCCACAATGTTCCACCGCTCCCGTGTCCGTGGAACTCCAGTTCTGTGCTACCGTAAGCGCTCCCTGCAATGACCCACCGCTCCCGTGTCCGTGGAACTCCGGTTCTGTGCTACCGTCAGCGCTCCCTGCAATGACCCACAGCTCCCGTGTCCGTGGAACTCCTGATCTGTGCTACTGTCAGCGCTCCCCGCAATGACCCACCGCTCCCGTGTCCGTGGAACTCCAGTTCTGTGCTAACATAAGCGCTCACCGCAATGTCCCATCGCTCGCGTGTTCGTGGAACACCGGATCTGTGCTACCGTAAGCGCTCCCCACAATGTTCCACCGCTCCCGTGTCCGTGGAACTCCAGTTCTGTGCTACCGTAAACTGGTTCTGTGCTACCGTGAGCGCTCCCTGCAATGTTCCACCGCTTCCGTGTCCGTGGAACTCTGGATCTGTGCTACTGTAAGTGCTCACCGCAATGTCCCACCGCTCCCGTGTCCGTGGAACTCCAGTTCTGTGCTACCGTAATCGCTCCCCGCAATGACCCACCGCTCCCGTGTCCGTGGAACTCCGGTTCTGTGCCACTGTAAGTGGCACCGAGAGCTGTACTGCTGAGGCAGCGGCATAGCCTTGCGTGAGTCTGGGCATCTCCACTGAGCATCCAGGCCCACTCCTTCCCCTGCCCCAGCTTTGCTCTTCCCCAGAACTGCCTTGCTCAGCCGCTCTGGGGCGCCTGCTATGGACAGGGGTCAGGCTGTGGGGGCTTCCCCATTCTGCCCGCCCGGCGCTCTGCCCAGATCTGCTTGGCCCACCCAGAGCGCCAGCCGAGGGCTGATAGTAGAGTCGATTAACTAGTTAACCGATAAGTAAAAGCTTATAGGCTAATGCTATCGACTACACGCATCCCCCCCTCCCCACCCCAGCCAGTAAATTTGTTAGCAGTCCTGGCTTGCGACAGGTCCGGGATCTAGCCCCACTGCGGCTCTGCATTTCCAGTGTATTAGGAGTGTATTAGGAGCCATGTGGGCAGGCAGCCCAGCTCAGTTCTGGCTCGCACCGGGTCCGGGCGCTCAGACCCCTCCCCCAGACAGCGGCTGCTGCCACCCTGTCTCCTAATACAGAGGCAGCAGCGCAGAGAGGCGGGGGCTCTTTGGAAGTGGGGCTGGTGCGCACAGGCTGCCGGCCCCACCCCCACTACTAGGATGTGTCTAGACTACTTCCCCCCTTCGAAAGAGGAATGCAAATGAGGGAAATCGAAAATGCAAATGAAGCGCAGATTTACAAATCTCGGGCTTCATTTGCATAATCGCGTCCTATCACTTTTTCAAAAAAGTTAAAAAAAAAGCAATCTAGACGCGATTCTTTCAGAAAAAAAATCCTTTTTCAAAAGAACCCGTATTCCTGAAAAAATGCAGAGTGGAGGGCGAGCACTTTTCTTCACCTCTGCTCCAGAGCACTGGAGGTGGGAGAGGTGGCCCTGATGGCTCCTGCCCTGCCCTCCAGACCTTGCCCGCCCCCTACGTCTGGGCCCACACGGTGTCCCCATCTGCCTCCAGCCCTGTGCTGGCTGCTGCGTGGCCAACGTGCTCCTGCCAGGCTGCACCCTCTGGCCAGCTGCCAAGGGCACCTGAAGGGCAGGTGCTGATAGTCAGCAGCTCCCACGCGCCTGTCCACAGGGGACGCCAGTGTCAGACTTAGTCCCCCTGGACGCTTCCTCCAAGCTCCCCTGGGCAGCCTGAGCGGAGAGAAACCCTAACCCCCGCCCTTGCCCGACACAGGAGAATCCCCCGGACAGTCTGGGTGGTGACTTGTGGGCCTGGGGCGGCACAGCGCCCCACGTCAATGCACAGCGCCCCACGTCAACACACAGCGCCCCACGTCAACACACAGTGCCCCACATCAACGCACAGCGCCCCACGGCAACGCACAGCGCCCCACGTCAACACACAGTGCCCCACATCAACGCACAGCGCCCCACGTCAACACACAGCGCCCCACGTCAACACACAGTGCCCCACATCAACGCACAGCGCCCCACGTCAACACACAGCGCCCCACGTCAACACACAGTGCCCCACATCAACGCACAGCGCCCCACGTCAACACACAGCGCCCCACGTCAACACACAGTGCCCCACATCAACGCACAGCGCCCCACGTCAACACACAGCGCCCCACGTCAACACACAGTGCCCCACATCAACGCACAGCGCCCCACGTCAACACACAGCGCCCCACGTCAACACACAGTGCCCCACATCAACGCACAGCGCCCCACGTCAACACACAGCGCCCCACGTCAACACACAGTGCCCCACATCAACGCACAGCGCCCCACGTCAACACACAGCGCCCCACGTCAACACACAGTGCCCCACATCAACGCACAGCGCCCCACGTCAACACACAGCGCCCCATCGTGGGCTCCAGCCCCAAGCATGGGTGGGCCCAGATGCTAAGTTGGTGGGCGTGGCCCACCTGTGGCTCTGCCCTGCTGTGAAATGACAGAGCCAGGGCAGGCATGCGACTGGTCGTCAGGCGTAGCTTTGCCACGTGGCTCTCGCATGCCATGGGGCAGGGCTTGGCATTTAGCTGGGGGAGAGCTGGGGGGGCGCCAGCAGAGGGTGTTCAGAAATAGCCTCCGTGGGGCACAGTGAGTGTCCAGGGCCCGGCCAGACCTTTGGGGGGGTCACGGAGGGTGGGGGGGGGACAGGTTTTTTTGGGGGGTGTTGGGAGTCATTGCACCCAACTGTAGCTCCTGCGTGGAATCCACTTCAAGCCCGGGGGTGCGGCAGGCCTCCCCCGTCCCCCTCCTCGTTCCCACTCCTCGGGGCTGGCCGCATGCGCTCCTTGCTGTATTGCTGCAGGCAGTGGCGAGCCACCACCTCGCCCGAAGAACTTAATGGCGCCTGCAGGGGGCTGGCTTTGTGCCTGAACTCGCCCCCACGTATGCACACAACTCCGCCCTTCCCCCCCCCCCGCTTGCCAGGATCCTTGTAGCTACTAATCAACACTGACGAGAGCAAAATCAGTTTAACGACAAACATGCCCAGGCGGACGCCCCAGGCCGCTGCGCGCCTCAGCGATCTGACAAGCCCCGAGGCAGCGGCGTCTGTGTTTGCAACAGGACAGCCTGTGTCCCCGCTGCTAAAAGCAAGGGCACGGACTTGTCCTCAAGCCTTTGAAGTGTATTTAATGGTGCGGCTCCGAGCAGCCAGGGCTCACGGTGCTGCCTGCCAGGGAGGGGGAGGAGCTGTTGAGTGGGGAATTCAGGGTTTGCTCCCTTTGGGGGTTCCGCTGGGGGACAGAGGGACTAGGACAGGCAGGGTTCCTCCCCTCAGAAAGGGGCTTGTTTTATTTTCCTGGGGGGTATCCCGACTGGCCTGCCCTGCTCCTCTGGAGGACTCCGGCAGGAGGAGAGAGCTGGATGGGGCGTCCTGCAGCATAGAGGGGGCAGCGTTTGAATCTAGCATCACTGTGTGCCAGGCAGCAGCTACCGGAAGCAGCGGTTTCACACAGCCCCTCCAGAG